TCACTTCTCTTGCCCTTTCTTTTCATTTCTGAACTTCAAGTATTCAATTTGTTGCATTCCTCTTGCCTTAGCTCTCAAATGGCGTCCTCCGCTTCTGCTACTTCTTCTATTATTGCTCCATCTTCTACCTCACTGGGAGTTTGCTTGATTCTCTAGCGACTATCCAAAATCCTGTTAGCCCCACTTGGCAAGTTTGTGACGGTATGTATCAGTGGTCTAAAAACCTTTTTTTTCCTTTTAGATTGTTTCCTCATTGTGATAGTTGTTCATTTCTTTTACAGGAAGATTTATCATTCCATGAATCGGTGGTTTTTTTGGTAAGTTTATCACTTCTCATATTTAACCTTTTGGTTTTATTAGAGAAGTATGCTAACTTTGTCTTAGCCCGGACGACTTCGCCCTTCCCCGAGTCGTCTTGTGTAAAACTCAAGAATTGGCCTCGGTCTCCTTGCCCTTAGGTAACTGGGTGAGGCTTCTGAAGTTAGAGCATGCACCTCAATGGAAGGAGATGGGTCTGTGTGACGTAATCCAGCTATCCCTAGCAGACGTCGATGTCCCTTTCAAGCTTTTAATGACCCTCCCTAGCTTCTGGGCTTCAGGCTGCACGCCTTCATCTTTGAGCTTATGTCCCTTACGCTATAGGACATCTTCATATTCTTAGGGTTGCCTGTCACTGAGGAGGAGAAACTTCTACACAATCCTTGAGAAACATGACTCTTATACCGCCCTCCTGTCGATTTGGAGAGTAAGATCAAGAGTGCGGGCTTCTACACGAAGATTATGGAGTTGTTCTCTAAGAAGCCAGCCACTAAGCCCATCACTACCTCAGAGCATCTGTCTTTATATGGATCCTACTGAGCTAATAGATCTTGACCCTGGGGGGAGGGAAGCTCGTGCAGTTTGCACCTGAAGATCGCCCAATCCTTGCTCTTGGTAACCAAATAGCCTTGAGGACTATATTTCTATGTCGCCTCTATGACGACATGAAGGATTTGTTGATAAAGACACCCTTCAGCAACTTTCATGGGGCTCGTCTAGTTTCTAAAGCTATAGACAACAGCTACTTCTCACTTTTATGGCGGGAGCCTTTTTTATATGATTCTTACGACAAACCCCCCCACCCCTTCACGTTCTCTTGGTGGTCATCCACTAATTGACTTGAAGAACTTTTTCGAGTTCTTTAGTCAGCAAAGTTGATCCCTGGGGAGGACCTTGAAGGCCTTTAATATTTTGGATTGATGCCTCCCTACTTGGTACAAGCACATGGTGGAACAGAAGAATAAGCCTGCCAAGCTCCTAAGAGATGAGGTTTTCCTTTCAGCCACCACTCCCAAAAAGATGTGGCTGTTGTACACTAACTCCTCCTTCAAGTCTTTGAAGGTCTACTTAGAGTCCTATCATCTTCAACTGGTGGCTAGCTAGTTTGGACTGAGCCACTGCATTCCTTGGGGCTTGTCCCTTTAAATCAGTGTGGAGTTGCTAGATAGGGAGGCTATCACCAGATAGCCGTTCCACATACTGCTTAAAGGAAGTGCAAGGTGGAACTTGCAAATAGAAACACTTGCCTTTGCTTCAATAAATGGTGGTTTCAGTACTTTAGGCTCATAATAAAGAGCCATATCAGTAAGTATTACCTCCCATGTTTGTCTTAGTTTTCTTCCTTTTATCTCGTACTCTAGTCTAATCCTGTTTTTATTTTTTATAGGCATTGATTGGATGCAATCTCACGTGCTGATGACATTTTTGAGGGGAAATATTGATGCCCCTGTAGCTTCTGAGACCTAAACGGCCCCCTCACTGAGGATCGTGGTCTAAGGGATGGAGCAAGACGACTCCTCATCCCAAGTCTCTGTCCCTTCGATCTCTAGGAAGCTCGGGGCTAAGAAGATCTCCTTAAATCATCCTGACAAAGGAAATGGCCCTGATAAGAGGAAGCAAGCTCCATTTCCTTCACTTGATATTAAGAGGAGGAGGAAGACAATACCTCTTCCACTAGACCAACCTTCCTGACACTACTGTCGAATAGCACTAAAATTAATAAAAACTAGATTTAACAATAAAGCGTAACCTATGTCGTCTCTCTAAGAGTCAATGGAGTAACTAGTTGAATTATGATTATGAAAAGGTAAATAATGGGGTTTTTTATGATGAAATTAATTTAAAAATTTCTAAGTAGAATTAAATAAATAAAATTCAACTGAGAAAATTATCAAGAACAAGCAATGCATCAATTACAATCCAATCACCTAAACTTAATCTTTCTCGTTCACAAATTAAATTAATTTTATTTAACTTTATTATTCTTGTTTAATTATATATATCTCAAATTATCATTCAAGAATTAAACAATAAATTAAGTTATAGATTAATTGAGATCTCCCTTAACCCACAACCTAACAACTATTCTAAGTTAGTCACATCAGAAACAAAGCATGAGTAATTACCCAAGCTATGCCAAATTACTCTTATGTTACTATATCAATTGATTATAGCAATCAAAACCTCAAATAAATTTTATAACTCAAAAATTATACAATAAAGCTACTCTAATCAGCAATAGCAATTAAAGTATAAATTTAGAGGTAGAGAGAAGAAGAGTAAATTGGAATAAAGCTAAAATAAAATCTTCCTTGAATATCAAAGACTCTAATTAAAATTTAGGATTATAGTTTGTGTTTGATCACATTAAAAATTTAGTTCTCCATAAAATTAAAAATCAAACAGCATCTAACAGGAGAAGCCATCGCCTATATTGAAAAAAAAAAAAGAATAGCAATCGCTTTTGTGATTTTTTCCGCTCATGCCGCCAATGTTTTTCTCCTTTTTAATCTCGTAAATGTCGTTCATTCCTTCGTATATATAAAGTGATGTGCCTCCTGCGTCTCTTTTGAAATAAAACTTAATAATTTAATAAAAATGATAAAATTACCCTAAATAGCCCTTATTGAAAACTACACTAAAAAGCTCAAAATAAATATAAACAAAGTTTTATATATTTAATTCTTTATTTGATCTCCAAACTTGCCCATATTTTTCTTATCCAAAATATTCTCTATCAATATCTTTGAAATTGAATTTAGAAAATCTATACAAATAAAATAAAATTAAATAGCACATGTGCAAAAATATTAAAGATATTATTTATATTTTAAAATTAAAGATTTAGTTAGTTAAAATGCCAAAAACTAAATATTGGCTAGCAAAACCAAATAATATTCAATTAAACTCAATTAGCCTTAAATAAATATTAAAAGTCTAAATTGAAAGGATAAAAATATCTAAAATTGTCATTTATCAATTCCCCAACACTTAGATTTTGCACTCCAGAACAAAACTTAAATCTCAAGATTCAAGAAAAGAAATGTGGAAGCAACAAATAATAATTATAGCTCTTCAACACTTTAACACTCTAATCAATCTCTCTTATATCTAAAATAACAAGTATCATGGCAATTTCATTTGATAAGAATAAATCAAGCAATAGCCCTTCACAGAGGTCAAGTGTTTAACTCTCAACTCTCAAATGTATATAGGTAAGTATTTCACTCAAGTTTTCCTATCAA